CTCGTGAAGCCAAGCCGGTATATATACTTAGTGGTCGCAGGTATCGGGCATACCTGGCGTATTGCAGCAGAGGATTGGTGAGGCAAGGTGTGAGATGGATAGCGGCTATTCGAGAAGGTTCGGTGCACTAACTTGGGCAACGTCGAAACATGAGTACCCTGATACTTGACGACCGCCTGCAATGTTTTGCACATTATGCGATCGATCAGGTACGTCGGGGGCGCTTCGCTGAGGTAGTGTCATTGTGTTGTTCATCCTGGTTATCCTTGCGCTTGCGGTATGTTGCCCGTGTACGCCCACTGGCAGAGTCATCGTTGTTTCCTGCACCTCCGAAGGAACATCACTCACGGTTCTCGTGCTGACTTCTGTCATTTCAGCTTCACTCACCTTGTATGTATGTCAAATTTTGTATACGATCGAGTAGATCATTGAGATCCTCTCCCCGATCTGTCAATGCCCGATCGTCCCGACCGTCCATTGCCAGCATGCTGTCTTGACGTATCTGCCGCAGCAGGGCTCTGGCTGATTCAGCTTCGTCATGGGTGCCATGCATCATTGTCGTTTGCAGGCGTAGGATTTCCAAGCGTTGCATCTCTTGTCGCACCTCTTATGATGGGTGGCAGCGTATCTTCGATTTCGGGAAGTCGCGTAGAATCATAAGGCCTTCGAGCGAAGTCGCTCTTGAAACCATGACATAGGGAGCCTCCGTGCCTCTTGTCCCATGCAGGTCTATGACGAGGTGGGGCAGCGAAAGTCCCTGTGCCTTGTGAGCGGTCATTGCGAAAGCGGGTGAAATCGGAACTTGAATCCTCTTGATACGACATTTTTTGCCAGAGTGCGGGTGGGTGAATGTTAAGTCCGTGGAGTCTTGAAGAATTGGAACATGGTGTGGCATCAAGTGTGGCAATGGCCTGTCCGTCGAATCCGAAATTTCGACGATACAAGACTTCAGGTACCTACGGCCGCTTTCGTCCATGAAGAATCTGATTCTCTTGAGGACTCCAGTGCTTCCGTTGACAATGCCACCATCAATGTCAAAGTTCTGGTTGACCAGCACTGGCATTCCGGGGACTAGCGGAATCTTTCCCAGCCGCTGATTCGTTTGGCCTGAGTTGAAGGACTCTAACTTCTCTTGTAATTCAGGATCTGTTACCTGCTTGCCATTGTGGAGGTCTATTGCATAGTACCAATGTAGTTGTTGATTCGTCCTTTCCGCAAATGCCACAGCAGCTTTCTCATTCAGCGCGTCCTTGAGAGCGTTGTCTGTAACTATAATGGGTGCTAGGGTCCATTCTGGGCTGTTGAGGTCCGTATTTGCCCGTGATACGATGCGTGACTGTAGAAGTCTGTAGTCCTCGTCAGTGCACCTGCCGTCTCGTAGTCTGTTCAGGAGGTCAACAAAGCATCTATTTGCACTGCCTGCTTGTCTCATCACCTGCGTCAATATCACAACTTTTGTGACTGATAACCAGAGCAGCTTCCCAAATATTGCTTTTTGGCCAGCCTTCGTTCCACCTTCCGCGAGTGACCTTGTATCTATGCGGGCAAATAGACGAGTTTGTTTGACAGGCGGTAGCTGCGCAAAATCTCCCGCGAAAATTACATTGATACCTCCAAATGCACTGGTGTTGCCTTTTGCTTCAACTAGGGCATCGTGAATTTCGGCTAGAAATTTACATCCAATCATTGATACTTCGTCAATGAATAGATAATCGACACCTTCCCACATCGCTACGAGGTCACGCTTGGTTCTCGCGAGACTGACATTTGAACCTGCTGAGCGCTGATTAAGTGATAGAACTGCGTGCAATGTTGTGCCACCGATGCTGCGAGCAGCAGCACCAGTGTAGGCTGCTACTCGCAAGCGTCGTGTTTCATTTCGCAGGGCAAAAAAGTCTCGAAGAGCATTCAATACCCTAGATTTACCTGCCCCTCCCGGACCACCAAGGTACATTCTCAGCGGCTCTGCACATTGTCGTGGCTGCTCGCTATGCTCAGCTATAATCCTGAATGCACGTGCTTGCTCAGTATTCAACGTCCACTTTTCAATGATACTGTCAATGCTAACTGAGGAAGGATTGCTACTTGTTGTGCTTTGCATGAGGGAGCCACCAGCAATACGTGGTACAGATGGTATGCTCACATTATCGATGCGAAACATCTCACCATCTCGGATTACAACCCTTGGTTCATCTGGGTGATTCAGAACATTGGATGCGGTGCCTCGTATGTTACTGTGAGTATCTACTATGCGGTTCTTCCACTCGTCTCGGCGCTGATCGTAAGCCTGCTTCCATTCAGCTTCAAGGTCAGGAGAGTCTGATGCTATGATATCTTCTGCTTCTGCGGATTGGAGTAGACCATCATAGCGCTGGCCAGCGATGTTTGACTCAAACAGGTGTGTTTCTTCGACATGCTTCAAACAGTCATGTACGCTGGACATTGACTGCGTTGCATGGAAGGATGTAGATGACTCAATAGACTCCAGATGCTCAAGGATGTCAGCTTCATCTGTTTCTCCTATGAAATCGTCTTCTGCGTGTGGTGCGTTCATCAACTCTTGGGATATCCGGGACTTACGTGCATGAGAGCGTCGGTTAGCAAAGTGGTCATCACGGCTGTCTTTGCATTCGTGCAGGATCTGGATGTTATCCATGACCTTCCTCAGCCTAATTG